TTTTTGCACATGTCGAGGAGCGTGTCAGGCTACATTTCACTGTGTGTTATACTTGTATAACTATGCATGTGACAAATAAAGAACCTTGAACCTTGAAACACAAATTAACATGTTACACAATCACACCTGACAGAACAAACAATATGTAGGTAAACCTTCAGGTAAACTGTTGAGCTGATGGTGGTGACACTTTATGTCACACAAGTCCAGTCAGAGGCTTCTTTATGGTTTGAATTTATTGCAAACATTTGAACTTTGCATATTTTGCATTTCATATCCAAGGTAACTTTGGACATGAAAGGTGAAATGTCAAATACTGACATGTATTTGCATGAACCAGAGGTTGAAAGCTCTTTTACAGCGAGGACATTCATAAAACCACAGTCAGCACTCTAACATGGATATAATGTTTGTTCCACACATGCATGTTACAGTCCGTGATAATTGCATATGTATGTCAGTATAGTTGTGTACAGCTATCTATCAGCTCATCACAAAATAAGTTATTCAGTACATAAGTCCAGACTGTACTGCAGTCTTATCAGATGACTTCACATTGAGAGAATGTCAACTATGAATGGAGCATTAGAGTACGCAAAGGTCGCTATGAATAATAGGACAGCGTTTTCTCCAGCATCTCCTCCAATCACCTCTCCATCCTTAATCCCGATCACGTTTCAATCCAGGTGAAGGAAAGGACGCTAGGAAAAGGAGGTAGGACAAACACTTGAACGCTCCCATTTTGTGGTTTAAATAAGTTCTCTGATGACTCTGCAATAGTCAGCCTCATCACTGATGGGGACGACAAGGAGTACAGAGGACTGACCCAAAACTTTGTAGATTGGTGCCAGCAGAACTACCTCCAGATGAACACCAGTAAAACCAAGGAGCTGGTGGTAGGCTTCCGCAGGCACAAACATCCTCAACTGCTACCACTGAACATCCAAGGGATGGACATCAAGGCTGTGGACAGCTACAGGTACCTTGGTGTTCATCTGAAAAACAAACTGGACTGGACTCATAATTCAGATGCCCTCTACAGGAAAGGGCAGAGCAGGCTGTAACTACTGTGGAGACTCAGGTCGTTTGGAGTGGAGGGCCCACTCCTGAAGACCTTCTATGACTCTGTGGTGGCCTCAGCTATCTTTTACGGTGTGGTCTGCTGGGGTGGCAGCATCTCTGCTGGGAACAGGAAGAGACTGAACAGGCTGATCAGAAGGGATGTTCTAGGATGCCCTCTGGACCCAGTGGAGGTGGTGAGTGACAGGAGAATGGTGGTTAAGCTATCATCCCTGATGGACAACATCTCCCACCCCATGCAGGAGACTCTGAAAGCACTGAGCAGCTCCTTCAGTGGCAGGCTGCAGCACCCATGGTGTGGGACGGAAAGATTTCGCAGGTATATGACCAAAATCTCATATCCCGATATAAGAATTTATAACGATATAAATCACAAAAATGTAACATTTTCTGTAAATTCTGTGAATCTTGGGCAGCTCGTCTTGCGGGAAGTGTTTCCAGCTGCGCGTCATGTAGCTGGAGTTGAGTGTTTTAACCAATGCATGACATAAGTTGTAACAGCCGCCGTATTCTTTGTATTTATTACACGGCGTGCTGCGGGGAAAAGCCTGTTCTAACATTTGAGTCTAAGGTTTATTTTTTAGCACCTGGCAGCTCTTTTTTTTAATTCTCATCCGTAAATAATCTGCTCTTTCACGTGATTCAGTTTATTTTGAAAAGTCTCAACAGGATCTTGAGCTTTATTGTGAAAGGTTTATGTGGAACATAAACAAGCGGACACGCGATGCTGTTACCGTTGTTGTTGCTAACCACAACGCGTAAAAACAGGCGCTTGTCCGTCCATAGTGTGGTTATATAAAATATAAGAGAAAGAGAGAACTTTAAGAAATTAATATAGTCACTACACTCACCATCAAAACGATGAAAAAATATTGCCGTAAACAATTTATTTTGCGACACCACCAAACAAATGATAGTGTAAAATGAAACGATAGACTTTTTATATCGTCATCCGATATATATCGTTATATCGAACAGCCCTATTTCCTTCCCACTGCTGTCAGACTGTACAACAAAGACTCCAACTGATCAAACACACATATCCATATATGTGCAATAACACTAAGTGCAATACTCTTTTCTGGCATCGTTGTATTTTTACTCAGTTGTATATAGAATTTGTATTCTATTTTTTATCCTACTGTATATTTTATTCTACTATAGCCTATATAGTATTTCATTTTATTATATTCTGTACAGTTGTGTACTGTATTTATTCTTATTGTATTCTAATTTTTGCTAAATAACTTGCACTGTCCACTTCCTGCTGTGACAAAACAAATTTCCCACGTGTGGGACTAATAAAGGTTATCTTATCTTAACAAAAAACAAGGACACGTAGCTACTTCCGCATGTCTACGTTCAGCTTCTGCTCAAACTGCACGATTGACTCGCAGAGGTTACAAGTTCGTAGGTCACGATACAGGGCCTCACACTATACGGCTCGATGCTCTGATGCGACCTGAGTGCTCACACTGTGCGTCCATAAAATGAAGGTTATAGCAGAAATTCTGTTGCTTGCTCGGTCTTTCACACACAGACACACACCGCCACCATCAACTTTGCTAAATTGCTAATGAAAAACATTGGTCAGGCAGCTGTGATTGAGCAGCAATGTCTATCCAACTATTTTCACGGTTGTGATAATTTTGTGAGGCCACATTGAAAAGGCTCAGATGAGCTTTCCGAAGTTCTACAGGTGCCTCCATCGCTTGTGTCCAGATCACACGCTGCACTGACGTGCTGCGGTCTTTTTCGCTGACATTTGTTTGTGCGTGCGCAGTGTGAGAAACTGCGGTGACACCCTCACGACGGTCGCGAGGATTTCAAACAGTTTTGAAATCCTGTTTGAAATCAAAAAGGTTTGAAATCCTCACGACCAAGCGATTGATGATCGGGAGCTGGTCGTGAGGTGTTAATCGCTTCTCGTTACCCCACATATACTACACGATGCACGACGAAGGCCAAAATCGGGCCGATCGCCAAAACGGTCGCGCGACTCAAAAATCGGCTCAAAATGGGCCAAACATCGCACAGTGTAAGCCCAGCATTAGCGATGTCGTGCTGTCTGAAGGTGCACTATTCCGGTAGGACAGAGGGGGTAGTTTTACTCACCGAGATGCGCTCCCCGTGCCTTCACCCCACAGACTTCCCGTTGTACCGGAAACGATTGCTGAATGTTGATTGGTTGATTCGTGGGGCGGCCCGGGAGTTAAACTGAAACGGTGAATAGGGACTGTTCATTGTTGAACACTCTTTTTTGGGGATGTGAACGCTGTGCCGAGCTCCCACCTTGTTCCAGAGCACTTTTATATACGAGGTTTCTGTTAATTGACATAAAATGCCCTTTGGTGGGTGTAGCCATTGTAAATAAAATCTATCCAGATAGTGTCTGTGAAGGTTCTCAGTCATCCAGGTCATCGTAGTCAAAGGAGCTTGCAAAGAAAAGCGTCTGGACTTCTTTAAGTTGCTTGAAGACGTTTCACCTCTCATCCGAGAAGCTTCTTCAGTTCTAAGGTCAAATGGTGGAGAGTCCCAGATATAAACTTTCTTTGCAAGCTCCTTTGACTATCCAGATAGTGCAAAACAAGCATCAGTAACCAGCTGAACTATCACTTAATAACACTGGAATAGTATGAGTGGGCATGGAGGAGGTCCTGATCAGCAAGGAAACTGTGAACAGTTTTAAAATATAGTTATAAGTAAAGCTTGACGTCCCTCCCCTTCTTCATATTTCAGACATCACCAGGAGTCTTTGCCAGGCCTCTGCTCTACTGTACAGAGTATAGACAGTAAACACATTCATGTTTAATGGTACATCGTTTTGATCACGACAAGATGAAAAACAGACTAACCCATCCACTCTGCTCTGTTCACCAGAGTTACTCTGTGGAGTAACACGTGGACAGGTTGGCAGTCTGTTACAGGGTTAACTCACACAGACAGACAAGCATTCACACTCACAGCATTATAAACATAAACTCTTCATTGAATTTCTTCAAGCTTGTGCTTCATTCAGTTCTGTGCTGCAGACTGTGGATTGAACACCTTCACTGTGACTGCAGGACGATCCAGACTGGAGGATGCAGGAAACACAGCTGGATGCATTCCTGTCCACTGTGTCTGCTCCACACTGAGGAGAGAAACACTTTCACAAACTGTGACTGTTCAATAAACCCAAGTATGTAAATGAATCCTTTCTGCCCTGACATGCAAGATTGGACCTTTGTCAGCTCAGATACATCCAAAGCACACGCAGGATGGAAGTGAAGTCAAAGCTCACACTAACCTAACACATAACCAGTTTGTTCATGCAACAAAAGCAAAAACGGCGCATTTGTCAGAAACAAAACAAGAAATCAGTTATTCATAAATCACATCCAGGCTGCTTTTGTTGTTCTACATACATTAATATGTTGCCATATCAACAATAAATAGGAAATAATAGGAACAATATAATTAGAGAACTTGTATTGGAGCAGTTGCCGATCATTTCATCATATAAAAACAATAATGCTAATGAAACCTGAACACTCACAGGTGAATGTGTTAGCTGTGCTGGCACTGACATGACTCTTACTGATAAATCTGTTTGTATTTGTTTTGACAGAAGAAGAACATTTCTGAAAATATGAAATAATGATGCGAGACGTGTAAAACATTTGTAAGTGGGACACTGAGGCCTCTGGAAACAATCAGATCGAGGCTGTGACCTGTTGTTTGGCTGGGTTCTGTCACATGCTGCTTAAAATTAAAACATGTTAATAAAGTGGTGAATTGTCCGTTGTCAGAGCTGTTACTGTCAGTGTGCGTGTTAAAATCACCTAAATGCAGTCAAATGTTGTCATTTTGGAGAAAAGTTCAGCAATTTTTTCCAGGAAGTCACGTCTCAGTCTGGGAGGAGGCAAGCAGTATATATGTATACTGTATATGTATATAGCGATCAGTAATACAGGAGGAGATACACAATTATTTATTAAACCTAAACATTTACAAGTCACAAAGTTGTTAAGTAAATGGTAAATGGCCTGTATTTGTATAGCGCTTTTACTAGTCCCGCCTAGGGACCCCAAAGCGCTTTACACACCCAGTCATCCACCCATTCACACACACACATTCACACACTGGTGGAGGCAAGCTACAGTTGTAGCCACAGCTGCCCTGGGACAGACTGACAGAAGTAAAGTAGTAAAGTTTTACAATTGCAACAGTTTTTATATTTCTCAGAAATCACAGCACTGCTGCTGCTGGTTAAGGGGAAAGGTTCAGACCTGATCAAGTCTTTGTAATCAAGTCAGGTTTTAATAAGAAGCATAAAAAACATTTTGTTATTATTGAGTGTTTTTAGGTAAAGGTGTCACTGTAAGAAGTGCAGGATCTGAACTGCAGGGAATGATGAAGCTATCAGCAGATCCAGTTTTGTGTTTTTCTTCCATATATCATGCAAAGTTTCAGCTCCACTTGTTTCTTCTCTGGTTGGAGTTTCAGCACTTCCAGGAGGATGGAGGTCTTTCTCTCTGAGAGCTTTATGAACCAGACTGCAGGAACTGATTGTAAAACTGACTGTAATGATGGAAGGACACTCAAGCCTGTTCTAGTTTCACAGTTCTTCACATCAGAGTACAGATCCAGCAGGAAGTCACTGATATTTCCTATAATAATATCCCATGTATATCTCATAAACAGGGAACGTTTGTATGTGCACACTGATGATAACAGCTCCAGTATCGTCTCTCCTGTCTGCTGCTCTCTCTCTCTGCTGCTGCACAGAATAGACTCACAAAGAACCTGACTGCTTCATGAAGATCTGACCCCAGAGGAACAACACTGGAACAATAAGAAGGAAACATTTAGTAATAATTTGATGTGAGCTGCATAAACACAACCACACAATACTGATGGACTTCATCTTGTCCATGTGTGTCCCGTATATAATGAGAGTCCATTTTATAGCCATCTTCCATCAGAGCAGCTGAACACTGTTTTTAGACTGTTACTGACTCACAACACAAACACTCATCCTGTGTGTGAAATCACTGCATACTGAACTGTAACTGTCATTTTATTTGCTGTCTGACTTTAGAAAGTAAAACATTAAATATCAACAATACAGAAACACACAGAGTGGAACAACAACATCTAAACTTCATATCTTGTACAACAGCAGCTTCACCTCCTGCTCACATCACACACGTGGAAATCACATATTTACTTACCTTTCAGTCAGTTTGGTTTCAGGATGACATGGAGGATTCAGCTGAAGATTCCACAGTCTGCAGGATTCTTTAGACTCCGAGGATATGAACAGTTGGTCCCGGTCTAAGAGGATGTAAGCTGGTATAACCCAGCAGGGGAGTATTTCTCTGGTTAGGATGTGAGCTTTGGTTTCTGCTGACACTTTATAAAGCGATAACAGTCCCCTCCAGCCTGTTAAGACTATTAAATACAGGTTTCCACCGACACTGTAGGTAAGGGGTCCCATGAGGTTTTCTCCTAGGACTTCTGCAGGCCTGCTGAACAAAGTTTGTTGGAGCTTTCCAGGTAATCTCTACAGTTTGTACAACTGCGTTGTACACATTCAGACTCATTTCAGACCAGTACATAAGTTCTTGTAATTGTTTATGTGTTTTATATCTTTTAAGATGGCCCCACAAAAGATCATCATAGTATTGGTGGACTGGTGGTGGAGGGAGGATGTGATGCAAGTCTGCTACAGTGTTTTATGAGGTAGCTGGATCACTTTTTTCTCCACAACACATGAAACAGCACAGAAAGAAGTAGATGGCTCACAGAGGGATTCCTTCATTATGGTCTGCATTTGCTCTTTTATCACCTGCACATTTGTGGGAGACATATGAAAAGGCTTCTGTTTAATAAACACACTCTGGTACATCTGTAGAGACATCAGTGCAGCTCAGTCAGTGAACAGCTCACTGTCCTACCTTCTGATGATGCCATCGCTAAACGCTCCCCATCTGTGCCTTTTTTAATGAAATTTAAAAACAAAAAAAACCTTATTATATAAATCAATGTGATGCAGTGAACATGGAGAAAGAGACACAAACATACCTTGTTCTTTGATTGGTGGTCTGTAACCAAAGCAGTGAAAATTATATCAGTGTCAGAAAACATGATGATGCAGTAAATTAAACATTTCCATTGTTCTGTCATCCTCACCTGTTAGACGGAGCCCTCTTTTTTAAGTGCCATAATAATAATCCCCCTCCTCCAGTAATTACAATTAAAACACACACAGCTACACCAACAGCTGCTCCCACATTAAAACTGTGTTCTCCACACTGAGCGTCAGCTGCAGATGTGCCTGCTGTTACCAGCTGAAGGTTGAATAGGTGACATCTGGAAGGACAGAGAGACACTGTTAGGGGACATGTACAGATGTTGCACATGTGTCTCTGAAGCTTCACTTACTGTGTGTGTGGCTGACAGGAGTGAAATGTTCCATTTGAAAATGTTCCACTGCTGCAGTCAGAGCACTCAGTGTCTGTGGAGGCGGTTCCTGATGACAACAACGACATGTGTGGATCAGTGTGGAATTCTGTCCTCAAACACACCAAGAAGCTTTGCTGTGCAAACTAACAGCAACACAAAGACTCAATCAAGAACATCTGGACTTGCTGGTATTTTCATGTTTATCTGAACTTCACTCTCTGTGATATCTCTCACACTGAGTCCAAACATCTCTCTGTTGTACCACAGGTCCTTGTCCAACAGGCCTCTGGGCTGCTCAGTGTACTAAATTTAAAAAAAAACTGGTACAGTTTGACATCTTCATGTCATAAAATTATATAAAATATCTTCATCTAATCTGCAAAGATTTTTTTAATTTTATTTTTTAAGAATCTACAAATTATAGGGAACCATACAGAAGTAAAACTTGAAAAGTTGAACTTAAACTCTATATCTCCCCATTGCCACACAGTGACATGAACCAGTGACTCTGGTAAGAGCAGGGGAGGAAGACTGTCATTAACAACCACAGCAGCAAACACAATGGACTAGAGCTACTCGAACATCAAGCTAGGTTATACGGCTAGACCGCCTGGGCCTGTCTGACCACACATCCCTGTTTACACCGTCTGAGGAGAACAGCTCTCATCTCCAGCAGAACCATTAAAAGCTGGTCTGATGGAGCCTCTCAACAGCTGGATGACTGCTTCAACAGAACTAACTGGGATACTGTCAGACATGGGAACTTTCACTGACGCTGTCTTATGTTAAATAAAGAAATCAGAAGCCTTTGAGGTGCAGGGAGATCCTGCACCTCCTGAAAGAAAGGACACCATCTTCAGGTCTGATAATACAGGTCTCCTCAGCATGGTCCAAGTCAACCTGAAAAAAGGTCTCATCTAAGGTGGGCTACAGGAGAAGGATCGAGGGTCATCTGGACCGTAACAACAGTTAAGTTATAAATAAATGGGAGAAAATCTGCAGGACCCAATGGTGGTCCTGGACCTGTGCTGAAGGACTGCACAGACCAGCTGGGATTTTCAACCAGTCTCTATATCCTCTGTCTGAGAAACCAGTCTGTACCAGACTCAGTCACTACTGCCCAATAGCACTTACCCCAGTGGTGATGTTTTTATATGGCGACTGATGTTTGCACTGTTGACTTTAGACTTAATTTTGCTGTACAAATTCTGCGTTACAATGATAATAACAATATTCTATAAAACACAAACCTACCTTTCTGACTGATGTACTGTCCTGGTTTACAGCGTTTGTGTTTCTGCGCTATGTCACAGCTGAGTCTTACAAAAGAAACACAGTGGAATCCCTCCAGTGGTTCACAGACTGTATCTGATGTTGTTGTACACTGCTTGTTTACCCTCAGACCAAGAGCTACCAACATAAAAAGAACATACTCAACATGTTTCATGTGTTTGTGAAGAGACACTGGAGCTCAGAGTTTATTGTTTTTTTGCTGAAAATATATTTGGTCATTATGTCGTCTTTACGAAATGTGAAAACATGATCATCTTAAATTAAAGAAATCGTGGAGAAAGACCTCCCTTAATGTTTTAATTTGATTTTAAACTACTATAACATAAAACATAGTTAAGCCCAGTGAAATTAATCTACCTGAGTCACAGTTTGTACAGGGAATACATCGCTCCAGGCCATTAGGTTGATCAGTGAAGGTTCCATCCATGCATGGCAGACATGACGTACTTCTATACTCATTACAGTGCATTTTCACTCGACTCCCTGATGAAATCAAAAGCAACAAATTCATTTCAAGCTTGCTTTTTTTTTATTGTGTCTAAGTTGCGTGCTTAGAAAACACATGCATTCGTCATTCAGTTGGTTCTTACCTGCAAGGCACTTCGGACAGCATTCATTTCCTATCTGATACTCTGCTTGATGACATGTGAGGCTGAGAACACTGGAGACTTTCATCAGAATTATCAGAATTACCTGAAGACAGAGAAAAGGGGTCACTACAATTTTTGGTGGCGATTTGGGGTGTCTACCAGAGGCCTGGGAGCTTGAGGATCCTAGTTGTATCGTAGCTGTTCCTACATACACACAAAAGTGAGTACACCCCTCAAATTTTTGTAAATATTTTGTTATATCTTTACATGGGACAATTCAATTCAATTTTATTTATATAGCGTCAAATCACAACAAAAGTCGCCTCAAGGCGCTTCATAGGTACAGAGAAAAACCCAACAATCATATGACCCCCTATGAGCAAGCACTTTGGCGACAGTGGGAAGGAAAAACTCCCTTTTAACAGGAAGA